ACTTTTTTATGTACTGTCACAAAAATCACAACCTCAACAGGCGTCAGAAAGAGGAACGGTAAGTGGCCCTCAAACAAGCAGAGCCATGTCTGCGGCGGATAAAGGAGCTGCACTGTAGGCCAGGCAGAGAGAAGAAGGCAGGCACTCCCCACAGCAACTCACAGGCAAACGGGGCAGGAACCAGGATGCCTGCTTCAGGAAATCCCTGCCCAAGGCCAGAAGGAAAAGTCTATTCAGAGAGGGGCACCCACAAGATGGAGAGTGAGGCTACGGAGACACGGTGGTTTTGAACGGAAACCCTTAGAGAAATGCTGACTGCCCGACTGCTCCAGCAGCTAGAAGAGATGCTTGGGGGTGAAGGGGGTGGGGATTGGCAGTGCTGATGGTGGCTAGGAGAGCGTAGGGAGGCGAGGGGTAATGCTAGTAACTCAACGAGGGGATTTGGGAAGGCCTCAAACCTGAAAGACGGGGTGTGTCCGGGGCTGCGGGCTCACTGCCAGGGGAAGCAAGCAGGGTGGCACTTGTACAGGGCGGCTGGATTTAGATGAGACTGAGTGTTTTAAAACACCTCTCCCCTAAGCTTCCATTAAGTCCTTCACATAGACTCCATTTGAAGCGCATGAAGCTGTGGGTTGGAAACAGGACAACTAACCTCCAGGTCAGGGGTTCAAACCCACTAGCCACTCCACAGGGGCCAGCTGAGGCTCTGCTTCCTTGAAGACTGATAGTCTCGCCAACCTCGGAGTACAGTTGACTTGATGGCAATGGGTCTGGTTTGGGTTTGGGAAGCCTCCTTGGTCCTCGGCAAACACCCCTGAAACACTCTCACCCCACCCCACCTTCCTGAAGGGGCCCTGGGGTCCCGTGGTTAAGCGTTCGGCTGTTAACCGGAAAGGTTGGCAGTTTGAGCCAGCGGCGGCTCTCAGGGAAACAGGACCTGGCCATCTGCTCCATGCAGTGTACAGCCTCAGAAGGCCGGTGGGTCAGTCCTGGTCCTACAGGCTCACCATCAGTTTGGATTGATTTAGAGGAACCCGTAACAGTCACTCCTCATGTTCCTTCCCTTACAGCACAGCCCTCCTCACACATCAAGAACCGGCCCAAGGCTCTTGCCGTTAGAAACCTACCCAATTCCTCTGCCTGAACTATGTTCTGCCTCCCCTCGGGCTCCCATATCTGTGGGCCAACCACATCCCACCTTTCTTTTTAAGGTAGGTATGATATAGACCAGCTAGTCTGCCAAAGGAGGCCCCGCTGATAGCTGTGGGGCGTGTTAGGGGACAAGGGCAGTTTAGGGCCTCTGGTCTTTCTGTGCATGGGTTTCACAAATGAAAACAGTGAGCAGAGATTAGAGACAATAATGTTGGAGGGAAAAAACCATTTCAAAAGACATTCGGGGTGGGGGTATGCTCTTTGCTTCATGGCGGTGTGGATGGTAAACCAACTATTCCCTTCATCTTGGCTCTTTCCCCAGTCTCTGACCCAGGCCTTGCACACACAGGCATCTACTGTCACGAACGGAGCATTTCTGTGGTTCAATTGCCAGCGGTGAACTTGCTGTTGGCCTTGGGAGGCTGCTTCATTTCTCTGGGCTGAAATTGTCTCATTGGGCTGTTGTGAAATGAACTTATGATTGACTGGATTTCCATTTGGGGTCAGGTACAGGGACAGGATTACAGAAAGGTCCATTACTCCCCT